TTCTCTTCTTACACTAAATCAACACAGCCTCATAATCAATAACTGATGGACTGAGAATCATAATTCATGACTATGCAGTCTGCTTGCTGATTATTTGCAGAAGTCCTTCTGTTAATGAAAACTGAATGCTCAGGAAACTGCACTGACGTTAGTTTCAACTCCTCAGAAACCTCCGAGTCAACAGGATTGCTTTCAGTTTACAGGACATGCTCTGGGCAACAGAAGTGTCATGCATGTTACAGTGCACATGATGAGGCAGAGAATCCAATACATGGTGCAGTGGATGTGGGGATGCTGGCCATGAAACTCATAAAAGCTATAGAAACATCAACGGGTATAATATTAAATACAAATGGACATTTGTAATTATCAGAAATGAGAGAAGAGGGGAGAGAGAGGAAGGGAGAGCAGAGAGGTGCTAAGGGAGAGAGGGAAGAAAAAAAAGCGACAGAGTGGTGAAAATGTTTGGTTAAATTTATGAGGATCAGCCATGCTCTAAGTGTTCAGACATGTCATTTAATGCTAGAATCCCTGATGAGAGACAATGTTGTATTACATCTTTCAGCCTACTGCTGCATCCTGTCCTGAAGCCTGAAATGTCATTTAACATTAATTTATAAAGCTGCAGCACATAGAGGCTGCTGTCTGAAAAAAAAAAATAAATAAAGACTGAACACTGAAATCACATGATTTGGTAAAGTGCTTTATAGTGTTACTAACAAACTCCTTAAGAATGTGAATCTCTTAGCTGCATGAGATTGCTACAGGAAGGCATTTCAACCTCCCACAAGCAGGCATTATTTCTAAGGAATGTTGTCTCTGAAATGATGTAGGCTGTGATTTGATTTTACTCACTCATATTCAGTGCTCAGTTTTCTCTTTTTAAAAGTCTACTTCCAGAATAGTTAAAGCTTAAGAAAAATGTCCTCAGTAATAGAGAGGCTAGTACATCACACATTCAGGAACAAAGAAACGGAACAAAACTATAAAGGAATCAGTAATTTTCTTTTAAAAAAAAATCCACAGAAACCCATCTTTCTCTGAGAAGCTGCATTGATAATAAACAATTAAGCAAAAGTTGTGTTAAAAAGCCATGTTTAAGACCTGCTAGATTATTTTTGACAGATTGATGCTAATATTTCACTGTTCTACTTCAAGAGACATCTGTCACGTTAAAGTGATAGACCTGGTTTTGCATCCCTGCGTGTGGGTGAGGGTGAGTTGGACTGAATGTTGGCAAGGAAGGGTTGGCAAAAGCAGCATGGCCTTCTGCTTTAGGCAGCCACCCAGAGAGGAAAGACAGGAACTGATTTGGAATGGCTCAAGGACTCAGAGCAAAATGTCAAGTAAGGAGTAAATCTATCACTGAGTCAGAATGCCTACCAAGGTGACCTTACGCTAGCATTGCCATCATGGAAATAGGCATTGCTTTTTGACTGAAAAACAAACAAACAAACAAACAAAACTGAACTTGTTCATTTAAAAGCAATAGAATGTTAGAAGTACATTCTGTGAACGTGATCCCACTGCTTTAAAGACACACAAAGAAATGCATTTTTTGTTCTATACATTACAGGTTATCATCTAGACGAACTCACTGACTTGACGGTCATGTACATCAATATAGAGTTTCCTATGTCAACTTTCTTTTTCCAACTTTGCATTGAATAGTTTTCTTTTTATTCAAATCCTCATCATAGTTACCTCTAGATGGTAGCTGAAGCAATGTTTGACCAGCTTCAGCACCAGCGAGAACAGATAAGAGGTGATCTTTCTCCAGACTTGCTTTTTATCTTCCACCCACTTCATTACAATCAAATACACAGCAAGTGGGCTCTTATTTGAGTACCATACTCTTCACAATATTTCAGATTAATCAAAAACAATTATCAAAAAAATAGATCTGACATTTAGAAATTAAATAACTGAATTAAATTACCTGTAATTGGCACAAATAATATTTCTATTTCTCTACGTGTACTTGCCACTATTTTGGAACCACTTGTAATGTGACATCAGCAGGATGTGACTTACAGAGTAGAAATAAGAATACATGATGGCTGATGCTCTTGAAACCTAAGGTCTAGACTAACTAAGGTAGTTGAGTTCACATCCTTGGTCTCTATTAATTGCTTCTTGTGCCTTAGGAAGACTCCTAAGAACATTTAACAAATATGTGCTTCACAGCTGCTGAATCAGCATCATCTGTCCAAAGCTGTGCCTGTGCTGCCGCCTAGTGGTAGCTTGTGGTATAAAAATGACATGCTCCGAGAGAACGTGGTGCTGTATCTCTTACTGCAAAGTAGGTTAAGAGGCACAGGAAACAGCGATGTGACAAGAAATCTGCCAGATCTATACACTTTGCCTTCGCTGTTTGCTTATATGGGAAACCAAGTAAAAGTCAAGAACTTCATCTTGTAGTCTGATGAGAATTCACATCTTTCACAATTAATCATTCCAGTTTCACTCATTACAATTCTAATAAGGAAGTATAGACGTACAGACATATATAGATACATAGATATACCTTTTTCATATTCCACAAAGTTCCTTAATAGTGTATCAGAACTGTATATCTTTCTTCACACACAAAAAAATAATAATCTTTTTTCACCAGTGATATCCCAGTGTAGGGTTAAAAAAATAAACTAAAAAAATCTGACAGTGGAGCACTGCCTTCCAAGTCTGCATAGTGCTGGGCTTCTTAATGAACACTGGTTTTTATAAAGATGAAGTAGTCTCACCTGGAGAATTAATCAGGCATCTGGTAGTTTAACCATTATTTGCACATATGTATAGCTACATGGGTTCACACAGTTGCCATTCAGTTTTCCCAGCCCCCACCCCATCAAAATGTATGTCATTCCATTCTTTGGAGGCAGAGAAAGAATATGCGTTCACCACTGAAGTCAATTTGTTAACAGCAAGTCTTTGAAACCAAAGAAGTGTCTGCTTTAAGGCAAGCAGACAGTGAGTCAGACTTTAAAAACATAGTCAAGGAAAGAAAAAAAAAAAAGTAAGAGCAAAAAAAGCAATCCTCTATCTTCTTACCCTTGGGATGGTTTTGCAATTGATGTGCCCCTTGGTCATATACACAGGCTGTTTACATTTGTTCACTTTTCAATACATTTACCTCTCTCTGCCCAAATAAACCAGCATTCCCTCTCGCTCTGCACACTGAATACATATGTGCCCCATTTACCACCCGGGGGTGCAGATTACCCATGCAACTTATCATTTACCCATTTCTCTAGGACACACTCTCTTCCTTTTCCTTCCTCACTGTAACTAAAAATGAACATGCAGCTCTGTCAATGACATAATGTTTTCATGAAAGTTCCACTAATTAAAAATCCTCACCATACCAGACCTAAAAAAAAAAAAAAAAAAAATGAGCACACTCTTGCCAAGTGTTCTTCACCACAGTGAAGCTCTTGTAAGTACGTTTTAGAGAAAGACAGAGGGGGATGGTGTGAAGGGAGAAAGTCTCCTAACATATGCATTGAAGTATAACAGTTGTCAGCATCACAGGGACAGATTATTTTTAAAATAGATCTTTCAAGAGAAAAAAAAAAATGAGATGAAAAAAATAATGCATCTCCAAAGAGCTGAGAAGTAATACATGCACAGCTTTGGGTAATAGAAGCTTTTACTGGAATGAAGGACCACAATTGTAGGAAATAGATCTGCTTTTTGAAAGCAAGCGATGATAGGTCAGTTTTAAAATGATGTTTGTCTGTACCTATAGACTCTCCCCTTTTAATGGTAAAGAGGTAGTTGGCTTTTATTGTGGTGGCCTGAAAACACTTGCAGACTACTGCTTTGGCCCATGCTTACAGTGCTAGCATAGTTACTTGTTGAGGACATTCATTTAGACTTGCAACATGCTGCATTAATTTAACACCACATAAAATATGGATTTTATTGCAGCAAAGACAATAAATGCTGCAACTGCTGAAAGCGTGGGTTTAATCCCCCCTTTTTTATTGTACCCCCTCATTTCTGACTCATATAAAATGTGAACACAGGAATTGTACCCATCCTGTTTCTGATGGATGTCAATCTACTGTCTTTATGTAGATACTTAGTGACCACTAACAGCTTCTAGGCATCATCTGTCCTCTGTCTGTCATTTCTCTTTCTACTGAAGGTACAATGAACTATGACTATGACCAAGTGAGGAATGAATCCGTTCATAGGGAATGCAAAGTAATGCTGTCTGATGTTAAGAGTTCATGGCAAACAGTGCTACCTGCTAAACTGATATTTTAAACAGAGGGTAAACAGGAATGAGCATGACTAATTACACTCCGTAAATATTTTCTGCAATTGCTCAGAATGAATGAATTCGAAAACTCCAATATCCAGACCCACACTGTTGAACATAATATATTATTTATCAAGCTTCACATTACCTACATTCAAAGCAGTTGTTCCAGGAAACTCGAAAAAGGAGTTTCATGCTCATTTGCTTAGTAAAAGGTCATGATTTTGAAATAATTGCGCATATACCTTAAGAAAAAAACATAAAAGCAAAAACATATCTCCCCCCCGCGCACCGCCCCCCCAGCAGGGGAAGAAAAGGCGAGACCTTAAAGGAGTTAAAAGACAAGAGGTGAATTCTTCCTACCTGGTTTCATCAGCTTCTGGAAAACGGAAGTTGGTTCCAGCCAAAATAACCCTGAAGAGATTGTCACCCTGTCCCCTTTTTGTTTGTTTTCTGCTGTTATTTTCTATCGCTGATTCTACTTCGGTCTAACTCAAGCTTTCTCTCAGCGTCACTTTTAACTCTGGACGGCAGGGAACCGAAGAAAACGGGGCGAACTCTCTCTCTGATTGGCTTTCATTCAGTGATTCTGATTAAGGATGGGGGGGGGGGGGGAGGGAAAGAGGGAGGGGGTGGGAAAGCCCTTCCTCACACGGAGAGAAAGGTTCTGCTGATGGAGCTGCAGCACTCGCCATGGGAAGGCTAGAGACTGGAAGTGCCGGCTCCTGCCAGCACACAGCGATTTGCAAGTGAATGCGAGGGAGGGAGCATCCGCGCGGAGGGCTGCGCATGAAAGGCGTCCCCTCCCCCGCAGGGCAGAAAGACTCTCTGTTTCCAGCCTAAGGTAATCAGCCCCATCTCATCCGCCTGCGTCCCTAACACAATCCCAGAAACGCGGATTCTGCAATTGCTTCTTGCAATTAAAAAAAAAAAAAATTACTTTTTTGCTTTCCTCTGGCATGGATGTGCCTGCACCACCCGTACTCTAGACCGTCCAAACACAAGTATTAGCGGAGCGCCAAGCAAATGGCAATCAGATCAGGTATATTAACAACAGAGGATATTGGGGAGGCGGGTGTGTGGTTTTAAATTTTTATTTGGAGGGCAGGTGAACTTTCTTGATTCTCCAAATACCTTTATTCGTTGCTTCCTGTCTTAAGGAGAACACACCTTACTCCTCATTTGGAGATGCCTCTGAGCAATTTTGTCTGTTTAATCATACAAGCTTTGCATCTCAATGTTTCATTAACAATTTACATATGCAATTAATGCCATTAAAATATTTAGATTGTGGAGTTGACATAATCTCTCTCTCTCTCTCTCTCTTTTTTTTTGCCTTTGTAAACTTTTTTGCTCATAAATATGTTTATGTCCAAAACAGCATACAGTCTGATACTAAGGCATCTGGATGATTCTATCGACATCCCAACCCTTTAACTGTCCATCTTCCTATTTATATATCTCTACATTAGAATTTTGATCAAACAGAACCTAACCAAAGATGTCAGTATAGCTCCACAAAATAGTTAACACCTTTACTTTTCCCCAGCTACGTCTAGATTCCTTTTGAAAATGTCACCTATAAATAAATTTTATATATGTAAACTGTAAAAATATAAACTAGGGGAGAAGTTATGAAGATCATCTCAGGCAACTATGATTGAAAAGCAAAAAAAGCATTAGTCAGCTGTTAAATATCTTTCCAGTCACTAAGCTAACGAGTAGCAACAATAGTCTATAGGACTCAGATTCCTCTCAGATGCCACAAGATGCCAAGAACCCGTGGAGAACAGGTTTGATAGTGTATCCTCCAGGAGACCCTGTACACACTCAGAACAACAACAACAAAAAAGGAAGGTTCTGATGGTGAGGGCAAGAGACACTCTTAAATTTCAAGGAGGTTTAGTGTATCACAGGTTGTTATATCACTGAGTGTTATCCTTCAGCTCACAGTAAAAAACACTAAACATTAAATGGTATGTGTAGCAGGAAAGAGCTAATTTTCCTTAAATGTTACAGATGAGCATACTAAATGGGGATAAATGTTAATGACTATGGAATTCTGACAAGAGTACAATATTTGCCCACAACATTTTCCAAAGTCCCTTGCCTTCATCATCCATTAAAAATAAGCATTGCATGTTTCCCAGGAATGGATGTATTTATGTGGCCCCAGTTTCTTTGTTTACTCCATATAATGCTACCATTGAAACATTAAATTGGCTTTCAAGAGAAATTTCAAAGTCACATATTCTACAGGTCAATTATACAGTGTTAAATAGATTTTTATGGCTGGTGTCTAGTCACCCAAGATGAAAGATCCTTTTACTGGTTTTGTGTATTTATTTTTCTTTAACATCAAAATAAATGGCTGTATGCTGCAAAGAACATTTAGACAACTTTTGAATGTGTCTAATTAAGAACTTAATCAAAAGCTCAGATCTAAAAGTAAAATCTCATTTGAATATTTATAATACATGCTGCACTGACATATGATCAAGTAAGTTTCCTGACAAAACCCTTGCCTCCTCTTCCATAAAGCTGTGAGCTGATAAGATTGCTTTGACTCGTGTGAGCATCAGAAACTGTAGTTCTGTCCTGTCGACATTTTGAAGGAGCTGAGCTCATTTATATGAAAGATGACTCCACACTTACCTTAGGAAGGAGGAATAAAGGCAGAGGAAAGGGTGACAGGTCCTTGGAAAATGAGACCCAGGTGTTTATGTCTATAACATCATTGGCTGGAAAAGAGACACTGAGTCACAGGTTGTTAGTGGAGAGGCTTGGAGAAATAGTCATTACTCTGAAAAAAAACAAAAACAAAAACAAAAACAAAAACAAAACAGTATTCAACCACTGAGCTCATTGATATTGCTAGAGAGGGTCATGACAGACTTGAATTGGACACAACAGTTACAGTACTTGCTACACCCTGTGTCTCAGGATAGTATATGTAATTTTTAGAACACAAATAATCGTATTATATTTCAAATTTAGAATTCAGAATGTCCTTCCAATGACACTGTTTTATGGCATGATATAATATTTACTAAATGATAACTAAAATATTAATGAATTTGTAAGTTCAAGTAAGAGATGGAACAGGAAGGGAGAGATGGAAAGAGAAAGGAAGGAAGTCAGAGTATGTATAAGAACTCAGCACATGCCAGGCGGTGGTGGCACATGCCTTTAATCCCAGCACTAGGGAGACAGAGCTAGGCAGATCTCTGTGAGTTCGAGGCCAGCCTGGTCTACAGAGCAAGATCCAGGACAGGCACCAAAACTACACAGAGAAACTTTGTCTCACAAAACCAAAAAAGAACTCAATACATTTTATTAATATCTTCCAGTAAAAGTCCTAAGTCCTTTATTCTTTGTATCTGAAGTCATAGTCCAAACTGCTGAGCACTTTAGTAATCAAAATTAAAGAATAATGTATCTGCTGGCTAAAAAGTACATCCTTTGATAATATGATTTATTTTATTAAATGATACTATTCTCCAGTTTTTTTATTTTATGCTGTCTATGATGTCACCTGTAATTCTGTAAGCTGCTCTATTAGTTTTAAGTTTTCGTAGTGAAAGGCAATGCGATCAGTTCCAGATATATGAAATAAATGACTGTAGCCAGCTCTCTTAGAAGGGAATGAATGAGCAACATTAAATGGACTCAGTAAATTGGGAGTAGAGAGACAAGAAAGGTGTTGGATGGGCGAAGGAGGGGTGGTAATATAAACAGTACTCTTGTATAACATTCTAAAAAAAATAAATTAATGTGAAAGATCCATGTTTTAAAATGTGAAATTATTTCATAGAAAATATCGTATTTAATTAAAAACATGAGATTATAAATTTATTTCCCCCATGTTCCTGTACAGTAGTGTGGGGGTAACCTGCCATGTGCTCTGTGGATCAGACAGAAGGGGACTCCTTGACTTCCTAACTTTCTTACAGCAAACCTGAATTCCATACACAACTTTGTTGCCAATCTTTCTCTGTCCTGCCAGCTCTCAAATCACAAAATGGAGACTAATTGTTAGTTATGAAATCTCGGCCGATAGCTTAGGCTTGTTTCTAACTAGTTCTTATAACTTAAATTAACCTGTATCTTTTAGTCTATGTTCTTTCACATGTCTTTCTGCTTAATCTGCTTCCTTGGCATCTCCTCCTTTCGTCTCCCCAGCGTTCTCTGGGCCTGGAAATCCTGTCTAGTTATCAGCCATTCAGCTTTTTATTAAACCAATCCGAGTGACATAACTTGACAATGTAATCAAATGTCTTGCAATAGAGCTTGATATTTTTGTTGCTGTTTTTAAGGTGAAAAAATATTGTTTGCATATAAAGAGATTTGCAATTAAGTGAATGCCTTCTTCACAGAGAAAATGTGAAGAAAAATAGCTGGAATAATTTTACTGTTTGTTGACAACTGAATTCTCAATCACACAAACTGCTTTATCCTTAACCATCAAAGGTTTGTGGTCTGTCTAAAATCATCAAAGAGTGATAAACTTTCTGTTTTCTAGTTGTGATTAAAGTTTTGCCTGAGAAAATAATTCAAAAGAATTTTTTAGATTAAAAAATAGCAGAAAATAACACGTTTTAATTTTAATTTGTTTTTATTTTAATTTACAAAAAATAAACATAATCTTTAATGTTGTATTTTATCTTGTTATAATTTTAATGTAGAGACTATCTGATTGTTGAAAACTACAGTTTAATCAATAATGTCATTGTAAAAGTCAACTCTATGAATTCTTAGAAGTTCTTTAAGAAAACGCATTTTCAAATAAATTGACTATTTAATATACAACATTGGACAAACCATAGCTATTATTTTCATTTCTTTTCCCCTAAAATATCATTTCTTTCATACCCCCATTTCCTTTCACTTGTTGCTTATCAATAACTGTCAGTTATGAGATGTTCTTTCCTAAGTCTAAGCTAACAAATTAGTTTGGCAGCTCAGGAATTCTTTCTGAAGTCGTGAGGCTTCCAAGTCATAGACACAGAGCACAGAATGCAAGACCATATTATTTATGTCGGTTTTCTTTGTTCTCCCACATCTCAGGAGGGAATACCTGAAATCAGTTAAGCAGACATGACATAGACTTGAAGTTTGCCCTTAGCTGAAGACCCCAGCTTAGGACAACTACTATTTCATTCAAATTGTCTGTATGGAAAATAGCCAAAATTTTGGTTCAGATGGAGATATTTTATAATCTGTTTTATAATCCCTTTCTCTACTCTGGTGGGAATTATATCAAGACTGATCCTCGGCAAATGTCTTTTAAGTAGTAGCCAGAAAGAAAATGATATAACTTGAGACATATCCAGAATATTGTTTTTTAAGAGTATTATTGAGAGATTCAATGGCTAGTATGTTCAATTCCAAATATAACAGTGTTTACTTACTTGATGATTTGTACCATCTACCTTGGTCATCCACAAGTGAAGATGATTTTTTTAAGGAAATAAACTGTGAATTTTGTTATTCAGTGGAAACTACTCCCAGTCCATAGCCCCTTATTTTAGAAAACACCTCACCCTCATTAAGTACACTTCCCTCTCTCTTGATGACTGTTCTTTGTATCTAGTTTACCTAGACCATAGACATTGTGTATGCTCCTCTTTCACTTGCTAAATGTTGACTGTCATATTGGCTAAACATAACAAAACACACCACTATGTGTAACTAATTTCTATTGCCGTAATACATTCTGTCATCCCTTTGCCCTTCAGATATACAGTTTATAATTTAAAAGGCTGAATGATATTCTTTTGCTCATTTTATTTAGCTTTTCATCCATTAGTGAAAACATAAATTGCTATCAAATCTTGGCCACCC